CTCCTGTTTTAGCTGCATTTTGTGCTAAGTAACCTCAGAGAATGTACACTGAACAAATCATATGCATGTTATTCCAATATAATAGTGAAAGGGGTATGAACGCAGCAAACCTATTGGTCAGGTGACAAAATTACTGTAACCCCCTTTTTGGGGAACCTGGCACTTCTAGTAAATCACAGGTACAGACAATGCACCTCTTTCTTGCTCAGGGGTACTCTTATATTATGGAAACTATGCCTTGGCATGTGCTGCTCATGTTTCTGGGACTTGGATGCCATTTGCAGTGATGCTGAAGGTATGCAGCTTTACTACCCTGAGGGCCCATTCACACCACATCCAGATTACCTCCAGAACAGACTGTTTCCGGACCCAAAATGCATCCCAATGCTATTTCTGGCCTCTGTTCCCACCAGCGCAGTCCGTTCCAGACCAGAAAAAAAAACTGCTTGTGCTACTTGTCTGGTCTGGAATGCACTGGAACGCATCAAAAACACATGGAACACACCTGTAAGACCATTTTAAGCTAAAAAAAAAAAAAAAAAATCAAATCACGGCAAAAATGCACTGCACTATGTTCCAGATCTGGTCTGATAAATGGTGTGAACCCAGCCTCAATGAAGATTGCTACATATGTATATTGCTCAGGTTTTTCTCCCACAGTAAAAGGGAGGCATGCTGCACCATGCGACTTTCCGTAATTGTAACAGGTTCCATTTAAAAGGTCAAACTCAAAATAAGACTAGCTTTCAGAAATCGGAGTGAATGGAATACACCAGAGACTTCTTGATTCTCTAACACTTGGCAGATGCTCTCCGCCTGAGTTCTTACCTCTGCCATTTTCATTACTATTAGGTTTCTACTTTGATTTACACTAGAGAGAATACAGTACAAGAAGTGAGACTCCAGGGCAAGTTATAAAGCAGAGCCAGGAACTCCAGGGCCAGGGAGATCACAACTCCACGAGATGTAAGAGGCCAGTGGGTGATTCTGCATACCCAAATCCACACGTAGCTGAAATAACGCATTGGGTAGACTGGCCCAATAACAAGTAATCCTAGGGCAGTAAATAGTATTCATTACCTAATTTGTTTTCTTAAGTCTAAACAGGCTTTTACAGCATCCACTGGACCCTACTGCAAATGCTCAAGATTCGCTGGACACTATGGGAGAAGGTCTACACATGCGTGCAGCTAATTATGGAATGTTCTAACAGATACAGAATTGCATTGTTTTCACAGTTCCCGCATTGCATTAAAAGACTTTGAACATTCTTAATTGGGCCCAGTGTAAGTGCCTCAAGACCCTGCAGATGCATAATTAAATAAAATAAATAATGCATACCATTTACATAGTTGATTATTTTGCATACTGGCTTGGAATGTTACTTTTGCCAGAAGAGGATATTTTAGAGACACGGTCAGTTCAACTATTCAAGGCTGCATATGGCTCGCACCCTATGAATGTATAACTAGCCACGCTCCCTTGCCACTTCCAAGCTGTAGCATCCTTGCCTGTCTAAGCTTCAGTGTCAGAGCATAGACAGGAGGATGCTGGCATGGCACTCCCCCACGACACAATGTGCAAACCTGGTGATTGGCTGCTCAGGCCTGACCACTGTCACTAAAGGAACGTCACATGTTCCTCCATACCCCAGTGCCTCTTCTACTAAGGAGGGCTTTGGCAGGGCAGGGAGGATCGAAGAAGGGTGGCTGGGTAAGTATACATTTGTGGTGCTGGGCCATAAATAGGTGTATGGGGGTCCGGGTACTGCCCTGGGGGACATGTATGGGGATCCGGGTACTGCCCTGGGGGACATGTATGGGGGTCCAGGTATTAGCAATGTGCAGACACGGTCACTTTACCATAGAGACACTGTCACGTTACCCATTCATGGCAGAGTTAGCATTTACCATGTCAAGACCTATGTAATTCAATACACAGGCACAGATAATTTGGGAGCTACATTTTCATAGTTTTTTTCCCCGCTCCTATATAAAAAGAGTACATTTTAAATCCCGTCTTACAGGAGATATTCAGAATCTGGAATAATATGCAGATGTTTCAGAAACAGTTTTATTTCATGGGGGAAATAATTCACACACCTGTAGGAAATCAGCATCTAATTTCTTTAAATAAAGTGAATAGGAAACCTTAAAGGGCCAGTAGCATCAAAGAAAAATAAATTATTTATAACAGTTATCTCACAAAGTCAACATTTGTAAAAGGAACATCCCCTCTGACACAAAGCCCAGGTATTAACTGTGTAAAGGGTCTAGGCAAAAAAGGTCAAACTGTTAAATAAGCATTTTCATTTCAAGGAGGTCATCATACCACTTTCTTACGAACACAAACGGACACATCTTGACCTTTTCTAATGCCTATGTGAGAAGAGATCAAGTGGCCCCACGAAGGCTGAAACCGGTATTAAAGTGCCCTTAGCGCCAGGGAAAAATTATAAAAAGTGACTGCAAAATTGTAAAAATGGAGCTGAACTCCAAAGATGCATGGTCCTAAAATCAATTGCAATATCAGAATGTTTTTTATTGGATCTATAGAATGTAAGCCATGGATAATTGAAAAACACATTTAAGACACATCTATTAAAATACTGTACAGTATCTAGATGTATTCTTTCAAAAGTCATCATATTCACCATCTGTCTTTATACTAGGCTGCCAAACTGCATATGAAGCTGAATTAACCTAGGGAAGCCATATCACATTCTTTAATCGTTTCCCATTGGTGTAACACACATGCGGCAGTACAGTGAACGGGCCTTAAAGCTGGATTGACACATGAATCAATGGAGCTCTGCTGTTCTGTGCCCAGAAATCGCTCACTGAGTGATCCTAGCACACTGACCGAACTGTCACTGACTGCTTCCAGGTCACCGTAAATGATCAGAAGATGGCAGGATGGGCCCTAGATCATGCAAACGCTTTAACAGCCAATCACATCATCAGGATTTAGCCTCCACCTACAGGCATTAAGACCCAGTTAAAGGGCCCACAGGAGAGAGCGGCAAGGGGTTACGATATAAAAGTTATACAGCAGAGGAGCAATGAATGTATGTCATACAACTGTGTATAGTAATCTTTAGTAGGGATGCACCGATACTAGTATCGGTGCCGACTATTTGGGCGAGTACTTGCCCAAATGCTCTGATGCCTAGCCCAATACTTCCAGTATCAGGAAGCCGGGCAGCGTGTCATTACATGCTGCCCGGCTTCCTGATTGGCCAGCTTCCGACCAATCTGGAAGCCAGGTGCCATGGAATGACGCAGCGCTCGGCTTTCTGATTAGTCGGGAAGCTGGCTTAATGCTCCCTCGTGACGAGGGAGCATAGAGCCATTTTCCCGGCTAATCAGGAAGCTGTGGCACTGTGTCATTACACAGTGCCCGGCTTCCTGATTGGCCAGAAACCCGGCTCCAGGCTTCCTTGTCACCTAGTGACGAGAAGCATGGGGACGGCTTCCCTGCTAATCGGGAAGCCAGGTGGCGAGTCTTTACACGCTGCCCGGCTAATCAGAAAGCCAGCTGGTGAGCCATTACACGCCGCCTGGCTTCCTGAATGGGACTTCAGGTACTCGGTATTGGCGAGTACAGAAAAAACAATATCGGTACTCGTACTGAATACCGAAATGCCGGTATCGCTGCATCCCTAATCTTTAGGTAAGCAAATCAGTTCTTAAACATGTTCCAAATGTATTTTTAACGGCTTGGTTGGACTTGCTCTTAAAAAAAAAAACCTGTATTAAGACGTGGCCTCAAATGTTTTAGTACATACTAAAGAGTGTTCTTGCACACCTCAAATGCAATGCTTTGAATGATGTCCCAGAAAAAGAACAGCAAATGACACTGTTTTTTACAAACACATCGCCATGACTTAAGCAACATTTTTATTGTAAAACTGCCATCTGTTTAATGTGCCAGATGAGTCCTTTACAGTACCCAGATTGATGTGCTTGAATGCCTTACAGCTGGTTTTGCATCCAATATGGTGGTGGAATTGGTAGAGCAGCTTCTACACTGAAAGGGATGTTAAGAAAACTGGAAATCCTCCATTTGCCTTAGAACCTCTTGTGGTAACAGAGGGGTCCTTATTTCCCACATTCCTTGCTAATGTAGGGCAACTGCCATGCTCTTCACACTGCTTTGTGCAAACTAAACCATAAGAAAACAGTGGTTCCAATACAGATTACTCTATTTTATCGTAATGTTGCAATATTTGATTTCTCCAGTTATTGGAGCTTCACTTGAAATTTGGAATTCACAGCTTCAAAGGATATATAAATTCAACAACAAACATTTAATATATTGCAGGTTACCAGTCCACAGATTGGATGGCTGCATTTGTTTATATTTTTCAGGCTAAAAACATTTTTATCATCAAGTTAAAAAACAAACTGTTGATTTTGTAAGAAAAGCAGTGTTCTTGTAACTAGCCATCTTCCTGAATTCCCCTGCTCCTTGTTTAATAATGAGGGAACAATGTATTTGTAGTCCTGTCCTGGAGTGACAACCATGGCTTCCTCCATAGATACAGAGTAAAGAGTGAGCATAGCCACCCTAGGACAGGAAGGGTGATATTCACGGGACTATTAGGAGAAACTAATGCAGCCAACCACACCTAAGGGCTGGTAAGTTGCAATATATTACATTTTAAGTTCCAATTAAAACTTGGAGTTGTATGAGAAGGGAAACCTACTGTATGCACACACACTTACCAGTTTTCCTGGAAAAAGAACCAACACTGAAAAGGCTAATTGCACTTTTCCACGTGAATTTGGGAAAATGGAATTACCCCCCATCAATCTTCCCCCCACCTCTCTAACCTTGGAGCAAACGCTCCTTCCCCTCCACAGTGACAAGTGTATTATCCGTACACTGGACACAGCAGCATAGTCCTGCGCTCTGTATTTTAAATCCCACTTGGTCAGCACGGTCAAGAGACCCTAAATTTGCCTGGTAAAGTGGAATTATCCTCTAAATACCTTACTGTCCTGCAATCACTTCAAGCCAGAGGATCGTCTATTACATGTACATAATTATTAAAAGAAACTACAATGAGCTCAACTATTAACATGACAATTCTAAACAGAAAGCAATGCCAGCTGCCAAAAAATAATCCATTTGCAAATGTTGGACAGAGAAACAGTTGATTGCTGTTATTAGATCCCTTTCATTGTTGCTATTGGCTCTTTTGAAGGACACTTGAGAAAGTGCTTAAATAAATGCGTAGAGGGTCATATTTCACCTGAACTCGATATTGTTACATATCCAATTTTAAACTGAAAAGACTTCATAAAAGGGGCAAACAGAGGCGTGTTTTAAACAACCTCTTAATTTCGCATACCAAGGAACCCCATCGTACCTAACTGAGTCAAGTGAATTTTATTCTACTGAACATCTAGCAACTTTAAATAAACAATTCCTGATAAATAACCTAAGCCAAAATGAATAGTACAAAATTCATTACAGAAGAGGATCTGCCAATTCCGGTTGGCTGAGGTCTTGATCAAGGAAATGGAACAAAAAAATATCCATTTTGCTGCAGTGCAAAGGTATTACGACATCGGTTTTCAAGGTGCTGAGAGCGGGGATTCCCGAGATGGTGAACAACTGTTGTCCTCCGGTGGAAAAACTGTTAGAGTACAAGCCCGGATACCCCCAAGGGATTCCGGTAGATCAAATACTTTGTGCCATTCATCTTTTTCGGGGTCATACTTCTGGACAATTTCAACCATACACCTATTGTTCCAAGAATATCCTCCAACAACATAAATTTTGTTCTCAAAAACTGCAACTCCAACGTCACTTTGTCCACGTAACATTGCCGCAATTGGAGTCCACTGGTCCAAAGACGGAGAGTAGTACTCGCAGCTGAGGACATCATCGTAATCACTAGTTCCTCTGAAATGATTGCCACCAATGACATAAAGTCTGTCTCCCACGGTGCACATGCAGTGCAAGCCGCGAACCGTTGTCATAGGAGCTTTCTGAGTCCATTTGTCTGTATCTGGGTCGAAGGACATCAGTTCCTTCTGGAAAGTGTCATGCGTAATTCCACCTGAAATGAATACCATAATACAAGTTATTGTATAAGTCATATATTGGGTTTCACTCCAATCACAGCTCTTGCTTCATTTGATTAGTGAATGAAAATAGAAAAATAAACCGTGTGTAAAAAAAGTGTCCTTGGATCAATCAAAAGTTCATAACAGTCCAACAGTGTGCTTATTACGGCTTATCCACACCACAGTAAATTATATTTAATAAATCAAAATCCCAGCAGACACCGAAGTGGGTTTTACACCGTACACTGTGCTCCCATCCTCACAGAAAACTCACCGGGCTTACACAGCTGCTGTTAGGAAGTGCTTTTTAAACACATTGCTACAAGTCAAAGTTGAAGTAGTAGACAAAAAAGGACTAGATGAAAAAAGTCTAACATGACCTGACTATGATTGGGTATAACATTACACCTTTAGTGCCTTTTTTTGTTATACTCACCTCTCCGTCAGCCATTTCTCCTAGCTTTGCTCTATATAAGCGGTGCAACCCATGTCAGACTCTTCAGCATTTGGAGTCACCTGTCAATCAGCGGTGGGAGTGATCCTGGCTTTGTGTGAACAGGCTTTGCGCTGGCTTGTGTGAACAGGCTTTGCGCTGTTCGCAGTAGCCCACTATAATGCTGACTTTGGGTCACACGAGTAAAATCAGTAAATGTTATCCTGTGACCCAAAAGAGAATTAAAGCCAAAAAAAAAAGGTTTGGTTACAGTTGAACTTTTGTAAGGTAAATACTGCTTAGCTCTCGGCAGCCCCTTCAATAAATAAAAATATCCTAGCAAAGCAGGGAGCAAATATAAGGAAAAGTTATCCTGTTTTCAGTCAGTGGCGTAACAACCGGGGGGGCACTGGCGCCCATAACTCTGGTTACGCCACTGTTTTCAGTGTCTGTATCCCTGCATAAAGGAAGCCATTCAGCACGTGTCTGTTCTCCAGGCAAGTAACAATTACCATGAGAATATGTGGCGTACATTAAATGTAGAACAGAAATCCTGTTCATGTACATTCAGGAAGGGAATGCTGATCACAGGAAGGGCATCCATCTCCCTGCGATTAGGCCACTATGAAGAGGGCAGTACAGCTGCAGCTGTGGTGTATTGACTTCTTCATTGTGAAATGAATATTCTGTCTGTGATGAGCCGCTCTGCTTGACACAAATAAGGACCACTTACACATGCTTTGTTCAATGTATATCGGAGAGCATCTCGAAAAGTCAGACTGTTGCAGGCAAAATGGGGATGGAACATCTATGGATTTAATCTCATTTATGACAAGACGCTGAAGGCTTTACCTAGTGGTTTTGCATGAATAATAGAATCCTATCTAAATCCAGAGAGCAATAATACATATTTAAAAGATAAATATCTTAATGCCCTGATTGCATTATTTAGAGAATTCCATCACTGTTATCAGAGGTCTCTGGAATTCATAACCATTTTCTCTTTTCTTATTAAAAAAAAATTATTGCTAGACATTTATATTTCTGATCTCTGTAATATTGTCAGGATAAAGCAGCAGCAGTCTTTCCCAATTAGAGAAGTAAGATGTTTAATCTAATACAGAGGCTCGTCCAAGCCATACATTAATATTCTGCTCACTTCAGCTACTTTCTAGGCATTAAGGAAACGTAGAGTATTAAAAGGTCAATTCCACCCTAAACAGCAAGCTGAATCGCCAACAAAGGGCTTGTACGTCTTGACTGTGATGGTGATATGTTTCTGCAGTTGTCTTGGTCTCCGTCTCTTCAACTAGTACATGTGTGGTTAAAAAAATATAATTTGAATCTAACAGGTTCTCTTTAAAGTGTCACTTCATTTTTCCCACCAAGTAAAGTCATATATTTGCTTTTTAAATTACTACTGCTGTGAAATCTGGGCTAGCAATTAAAAAGCAAGAACCAAGGAGGTGTCTGCAGGAATGCAACAGTTTTATTTTGGGGCATTTAAAATGGAAATCTCAATTTTGGCCTCCACCAACCCCTTCAGCAGTTTACACTATAGGAAAACCCAGAGCCTGTGCAGCGTTTCTCTGTTCTTTTGGCTCTCCACAGCCTTTGAAAATGTGTGTTGGTCTGACTAGTGTTAAATTTCACTATTCGTACTTCTATGGCCAGTGTTGCTACCAGGGATATGGGGGGAGGGGATGAGGGATGCCACCACATTCAGCACCCGGAGGTGAAGCAAATTACTTGACAATGGTTATGGATAAACATGGGGCTCACTCCTTCTCCCATGAGACAGTGCTGGTACTTCATTGTTTGGCCACAGCTTTGGGGACAGGGAAGGAGCCCACAGCCCTGTGTAAGCTATGGCAACTCTGTTTAGAACAGGCTTTTTTCCCTGCCCCCATAGCTAAACAAACCACAGGAGCAAGAAAAGATGAGTAAATGCTACTGGAGAAGAGGGGAAGTAAAAGGAAAACTGATTTTCTGCATGCACAAAGGAAAGGGTCACTTCTAGTGCTGGAGCCACTGCTACATTACCAAAATCCCAAGCCTCTGCTCACCTGATCTCTGTTAAAGGGGAGAATCAACCTCTTAGTAATCCATACATATTCAATGACAAAGCAGCTCATCCACCTAATGCAAGAGCTGTCATACTGCCAGTCTAGGTCTAAGGTTTCGTAAAGGTTAAAAAAGTACAATGGCACACAAATCCAAAACACCAAAGCCAATAATTACATAAAATGTTGAATACAGTTACCTGAAATGTACATGAGTCCACCGAATACAGTCCCCGCATGGCCATAGTGGGGCTCATTCATTTTCGCAACATAGTTCCATTCATTTGTTCTGGGGTTGTAACACTCTACGGTGGCTGCATGGAACAAAAAACAATTATTAGAAGCAACAAAAACACATCACAGCATTCATCAGCTATATATTTGCACATTAAAGTGACCCTGTCAGTCATTTAAATTGTTCAAAACTAAAAACATACAGCTTAAGAGCAGCTACCCACAATAAGGCCCCATTCACACCAGGGCGGTTGCAGATCAGCACGGTTTCCCCGCAGATTTTTAAAGGGCGGTATTGGGCGGTTTTAATTGCGTTTCAGCACCGAAATGCAATTAAAAACATCCAAAACTGTGCAGTTCCATTGAAAGCACTATGGAAACCGTGACGATCAGCACTGCAAAAAGGGTCAGGAAACTAAATTTACTGACTTGAGGGAAAAGCCCTTCAATTAGCCATTTCCTTGTTCAATGACAGCAATTCACAGTCCTTAAAAGGAGAACTATGAGGAGTGCTTTTCACTCACCTCATAGTTCTAGCCGACCTGTGACAATGAAACTGTCACAGGTCGCTTCAGTAGATCGGGAAGTGAGCGAACACATACCGGCGTTCGCTCACTTCTTGATCCTGTCGTGACAGGGGAGTAGCTGGATTCCTCCCTCCCTGCTCCGATCCTCCAGCGCTGACTGGCGGAATGGATGGGGGAGGGGGCGGGTACAGCTGGCTCTGCCTCTAGATAGGCAGAGCCAGCTGTCACTCACGCAGCTGGGCGGATCCAGACATAATTGTCGGGATGCGCTTCAGCTGCGGCGTCTCAGTATACCGCGAGCTGTAGCCCACGGTATACTGAGCTTAGGGTGATGGGAGGACGCTAGTTTGTGTCCTCCCGTTACCCTAAGGAGAATTATGGGGAAAAGCCCTAACCCCATAGTTCTCCTTTAAGGGCACCAACACTAGAGCAAGCACAACTAAAAAGCAACAAGCAATGGCAGTCACCTTGTCATAGCTGCTCTTATGCAGAACTTTTTCCAAAAAAGCTAACAAGTTCCTTTTATCTCCAGCGCTGACTGGTGGAACGCATAAGGGAGGGGGCGGGTACAGCTGGCTCTGCCTCTAGATAGGCAGAGCCAGCTGTCACTCACGCAGCTGGGCGGATCCAGACATAATTGTCGGGATGCGCTTCAGCTGCGGCGTCTCAGTATACCGCGAGCTGTAGCCCACGGTATACTGAGCTTAGGGTGATGGGAGGACGCTAGTTTGTGTCCTCCCGTTACCCTAAGGAGAATTATGGGGAAAAGCCCTAACCCCATAGTTCTCCTTTAAGGGCACCAACACTAGAGCAAGCACAACTAAAAAGCAACAAGCAATGGCAGTCACCTTGTCATAGCTGCTCTTATGCAGAACTTTTTCCAAAAAAGCTAACAAGTTTTAGCATCCAACCCACAAGGTGGTATTATCTTGGCTTTCTTTGTGTGGCCCTGTTCTCCAGGTTTCAATTGGTTACTAAGTATCGGAATTCTCATACCTCAGGGTAATCCCTACCAACTCACTATCTGCCTTGGCCAGTCAGAGTACCCCTTATTGGATAGAGGGGTAAAAGTGCATGTCCGGGCACGAAAAAAACCCCTCATTTGGTATATATTTCTCTGCAATACATACACATTTTCCAATATTGTAGAGAACAGCACAAAGCTTTTGCTGAACTGAAATCACAACCGGCCTGTCTGATCTTCTGGACTAAAGAACACCAGCTTCTCTAGATTGAGAGCTGAATGATCATGAACCACGGATCGCTCAGGTCATGGTCTTCTCCCTGCAGAGTGATGACTGTCAGTCACTGCTCCCTGCAGGGATCCCCTCCCCCCCCCTCTGTTCGAGTACTCATTGGAGGGACAGACAAGGGAGGGGGTAGGCACAGCTGGTTCTAGATTGAGAGCTGAATGATCATGAACCATGGATCTCTCAGGTCATAATCTTCTCCCTGCAGAGTGATGACTGTCAGTCACTGCTCCCTGCAGGGATTCCACCCCCCCCCCTCTGTTCCTCCAGTACTCATTGGAGGGACAGACAAGGGAGGGGGCAGGCACAGCTGGCTGTGTCTCTAGAGAGGCAGCGCCAGCTATAAATGAGGGTACGGGGTGTACAATATTGTCGGGATCTTTCCTGGGTGCAGTTCTGTGCTGTCTGCAAATAGCAGGCAGTACAATAATAAATGTCCTTCTAGGACTCAAAAGATGACTAAAGCTACAAAGAAAAAAAAAAAAAGTCTGGTTTTAGGCCAGGTTTACACCATTTTATGGACCAGATCTGGAATGCGGTGCATTGCGTGACAGAAAATCTGTGTGACAGAAAATGTCTGTTTTTTTTTTTCTAGCTCAAAATGGGCTTTCAGGTGGGGTCCAGTGTGTTCCAGTGTGCATGCATGCATTTCCATGTGTTCCAGTGCATTCCAGACCAGAGAAAATAAGGCCAGCAGTATTTTTTTGTCTGGTCCGGAATGGACTGCGCTGGTGTGAACAGAGCCCAGAAATACCATAGGGATACATTGAGATGCTTTTTTGGTCCGGAAACAAGCTGTTCAGATCTAGACATGATCCAGACATGGTGTGAACAAGCCCTTCCTTCTCTTTTATAAAATGTCATAAGCCCAAACATACAGTAGGCTCTTTTTTCAACACATTAAAACACTAAAAATATGTATGGTGGAATATGTACGGGGTGAAGTGTTACAGCATTTGGCCACAGGACATCTTAAACCATCTCTGGAGACTGGCTTCTGTACAAGGTGTTGCAAAGAGATCTTTGCCACAGTTCACAAAAAGAATTGGTAGAAGAGAATGAAAAGAATGCATTAGTCACTCAAGACTGCCCAGTATAGAAATGAACCTTGCTTTATACAGCGTCTGCCTCCTCCCATTCACAGTCTGTGAGAGCTGGCAAGAGTCGGCATAGAATTTAGCATTCAATGTTCAGAGACAGCAGTCACTGGGTGACAGAGGGAGCACAAAGAGGAAGAAATCATTACAGAAGAGGTGAGAGGGAAATTGATAAACATTAGTATGTTGATCTGAGCACAAGGTTGCATCATACAATTCTTGCAAATGTAAAATGTCAAGTTAATGTTTACATTAGAGAAGCATTGGACAAACCCCAGGAGCCAGGTAGCCAATTAATATCCTTAAAAATGACAGCCCCTGTATTAAAAGGACAATCCCTCTGCTTTAGAAAAGCAAGTTCTAAAATAAGGAGCTGAGGAAAACTAGAACCATACAATAACAATTGATGGTGGATGCTGTGTGACGTATCAGGGAAATCCGATTACACACACTGCAGACTTAGGCTGGGTTCACACTTGGGCGTTTGTAATATGTGCATTTTACGCGCATTGAACCGCGATTTGCGGTCAACAAAACGCGCAACAAACGCGTGTTTACGAGGGCTATCCAGCTGAATCCTAATGGATACGCGTGGAAAATACGCCCCAAAGAAGCTCCTTTGGGCGTAGGGAGTTTTTCAGCGCGTTCCTACGTGCTGAAATATGCCCAGGTGGGAACCATGCCCATAGGAAATAATGGAATTTCACTTGCTGGGCGTTTTACATCGCTGTAAAACAACCAGGTGTGAACCAGGCCTAAAGCTGGCCATACACGCATAGGCTGAGTGACAGAAAACAAATGGATTTCTCCAACAATGCTAAAGAAAAGAGAAAAAAAAAATAGACGGATTACCCTGTCAGGCTTTTGTATTCTGACCACTGTCAGGATAACTGACAGTAACGGCATCTGATGGGATGCAGGGACCATTCAGCTGATCATTTTTTACTTGGCTCCATCAACAGAAGTCGATTGAAAAATCAACTTTTCTAGAACTGAATGTGCAGGCAGGGTCACTAACAGCATAGGTTTTGAGCTCTGGGTGGCCAGCTTACAGAAGAACTTCAGTTATTATAAGAATGATCCCTTACAGTGTGGCTACCTCTGCAATGCAAGGTTTAATAGCTTGTTTTGGTCTAGGGGCTGGCATCCAGAAGATACGGTGTGTGCTCACCTCTCTCCCCCCTGTGCTCCAGCTGTGGAATGTTATGCAGCGTCCTCACATCTAAAAATGCAGGTGAAAAGACCTGCATTATATGTAATTACATCAGCAGGGCTTAGACCACTGGAACCTGGGGAAGAAGAGGCTGGGGACCAGTCTACCAGCCAGACGGGATTGAGAATCAGGCAGAAAATAAGGCCAGAGGACAGAACTAAATGTATTGAGAAGCCAGGGAAAAGGCCTGGGTTAATTTTGTAAAGGGTTGAACATGTATTTTAAACACTTTTACCAATTTTCCCTACAATGGTAGATTAGCTAATACAGAGCCTAGATCAAACTGAATTAAACAGTCTCTGTTTCCCACCCTTCCACTACATGAAGATGACTGATGGCACAGCAGAGGGACAGCGGTTATTATTGGATCAGAGGTAATGATAGAGTATAAGTTATAATTTAAATCTTCGAATTCCATTATTAAAATTAAAATAATGGTGTCGCGCTGTAAACCAAAGTGTCACACAAAATATTATCCAAATCTGTCTCCTAACATCTACACAATAATGTGTGAAAAATAAATCCCAATCTAGTTGTTAAGAACTCCTATATAATATAAACGCACATGAACTATGCTTCTTATTCCATGTTTACCCAGATTACTCAACCGTGCATAGAACACTGCAGCCCTAATCATAAAGAGTGTCCGCTTCCCCTCCAACGGCTCATTCACAGGTGCCTGGCCGATCATGGAACCAAGTTGGCATTCTTCAATGAAGAAGAAAAACAACTAGCACTCTGGCTGCCTGTGTGATTTGTGTATGTACATAAATAAAAGATATGTGGAGAGTTGACAAAATATAAGTAACGGTGCAATAAAGAAATCCCTAAGATATAAAGTGCATTTGAAAGACATTGCAAGCCATAAAAAAACTCATTTTACGAGCTTTATTTAGGAGGCTTGTAGCAAATATGAGTATTTTGTTAGCTGACCCGTAAAGCCCGGTTTTCGTAACTCAAGTGCAGTTTGCTGATACACATGAGAATGACAGT